GGGGATAAAATTATAAATCATAGGGTAACCTCAAAGAAAAATTATAAACCTTCACATCACAATAAAAAAGAGGACAAGCACAAATATTCAGCATATAGTAAAACAACAGCAACAAAGGAAATGATAACACGAGGACATTATGCTGAGTGAAATAAGTCAATCACAAAAGGACAAATATCGTATTAGTCCATTACTGTAAAAGTTAAGGAAAAGTTTATCTATTGAAGGAAATTTTCTTTGTGTGTTACCAGGGGTAGGAGGGGAGGGGAGGGAACGCTGTTAGTTAGATAGAGATAAATATTGATGTGGGTGAAGAGAAGAGCAATGTACCAAATGTGAGTGACCAATATGGCACCATTAAGGATGAGAAAGACATAGAGAGGTACATGGGAGGTACAGACAACAAGTATGAACCCTTTTGCACATACAGTACTGAGTTGTCAGTGAAGGCAAACATGGGTATATGGATGGACAGACAGGTGGACAAGCTAAACGATTAGGTATGTTTATGAAATGGGGAGTGTATCCAAGATCATATATAGGGTTGGCAGACAATGGTCCTATAAGTTTACATGAATGATCAGAATTCCCAGGTGTATAGTAGAGCTGACAAGGGGAAAGGCTGTGGTCACTGTTTGGTCATAGCCAGCTATACCCAGAGAGACCGAGTAGTTGAACCTGCAGGCTTGGGACCATAGTCACAGGGGACATCAAGCTCAATTGGCATAGCATACTATACAAAACATTGCTCCACCTCCTACTTTGGTGAGTAGCGACTGGGATCTTAAAAGCTAACAAAGCTGCTATCTAGATGCAACGATGGGTCTCTCCTTGTCAAGAGCAAAGAAGAAAGAAGAAAACCAAAATTAATGGAAACAATCAGTCCTAGCAACTGGTACACCATCTGATCTGCAACCTATACAACTATGAGACCAGAAGAACTTAATGGTGCCCGGCTACCACTGTCATCCACTTAGAAGGGATGTAGGAGATCCTGGATACAGAGTGAGAACAATGTGGAACAAAACTCAAAATCATTTGGAGGGGAAAAAAAAAAAAGAAGGTGAGGACCAGATTTGCTGGTCCAATAGAGCCTGGTGGAACCACTGAGACTATGGCCCCTAGCTACCCTTCAGTTCTGGAATTGAACCCCACACCTGTGGTTTCCAGCCAAACAATGCACAGGCATGTGCGTTAAACATTTAACTCAAGCAGACACATGCCCTGGAGAGAACAATCATGGGAGAAGGAAGGGCTGCTTATGCACAGGGAGACAGCTCAGGGCAAAGGAGAGTATGGAGGGATGGTTACTGGGAAGAGGTAACTATGGGGAAGGAAGTGGGAGGGGAGCTGTTACATTGTGGTAAACTGTGGTCAATGACATGAGACAAAGTATATGTGAACTGCTGTATGGAAAGTGAATTTGCTCTGTAAATCTTCACCCAAATCACAATAAATAAAAAATAAAAAAATAAAAATTTCACCAAAAGAGTGAAAAGAAAGCCCACAAACTGAGGGAAAAAATTTTTGCAAAGGCATATTGGACAAGGGACTAAGCTCTAAACTTACAGAAAACTTCAACACCAAAACAACAAAAAGACAAATAATCCAATTTTAAAATGGATGGACATGAAACAGACACTTCACCAAAGAACACATTCAGGCAGCTAATACTGAAGAAATGCCCACAATCATTAGCCATCCCAAAAACAAACCCACTGCCATTAAGTCGATTTCAACTCATAGTGACTGTGGTAGTTAAGTTTGTGTGTCAACTTGGCTGGGCCTGGTTGAGTGGCTGGGCAGCAGAATGTAGCTATTCCCCATGGTGAGATTGGTAATTAACTCCATGATGGACTCTACTGGAACAGGTGAGTAGCTGCTGTAGGGATGTTGTCTGCTTCCAGTATATAAGAAGCAATTTTGAGGAAAGTCTCCAGATGATGGCATGCTGGAACTATTTTTAATTATATTTGAACTTGGACTTGAATCAATGGCCTGTGTGTTGTTTGGTAACATTGGGACTATGCCTTTTTACTTGTCAGCCTCAGCAGCCAGCAGCTGTCTGAGTGAAGAAAAGCCTACAGCTTCAGTGGGCTGGGAGTAGGAGGCAAAGCTGAAGCCCAAGGTTGAGGGGCTTTCACCCAGCACCTAGAGCCTGGCACTTTTAACTTGGACTTAAAGCCTCCCAACAGTAAGAGAATAAACTCCTGTTTGTTAAAGCCAAAAAAAAAAAGAATCTTAGCCTAACAGATGCTGTTCCATAAGAGACACACTTAGAACAAAATTTTTAAATATACAGAAGGTAAATGGAAAAAAAAGGAAAGTAGATGATGCATATAAGACATATTGATGCATATAAGTAGATATTGATATAAGACAAACTAGAACTCAAGGTAAAAAGTGTTATACAAGACTAAGAGAGCTTGCCTATAATAAAACTCACAAGGAGACATAGTAGTGCAACAAGCAAAAGAGCATGAAAGTATAAAAAGCAGATTGATAGGAAAAAAAAATCAAGAAGAAACAGACAAATCCACAATCACAATTGAAACTAACATCCTCTCAGAAGAAAGAAAAATTAAACTGATAAAAATTTAGTTTAGATATAGACGATTTGAGCATACATGATTTTTTTTTCCCTCTCTGGCAGCAAAATGTCCTTGCCACTCTGATAGCATTTAACATGGAAATGTCTGTACCAGTCGCCATGCATGCACTTGTTCTCTTACCTACCTACCCTACAAGGTGAGTAACATGGTATTTCTCATCATATCCCCAGGACCTAGTTCCCAGGAAAAAAAAAAGATTCTAACTAGAAATCATACAAGCCACCTACCCTGATTAAATAAGGAAATTAACTATAATGATAAAGCCAAAAGATAATTATTTTTAAAGATTAATAGTTAAATCCCTCATAAAACTGATCAAGAAAAAGGAGAAAATAGAAAGTATAAATACTAGAAATTAAAAAGAGCATTACCACAGATCCCACAGATATTAAAAAGACAAAATTACTATTATGAACAACTTTATGATAATAAATTCAACAACTTCAACAAAACAGAAAAAATCTTCAAAAAACACATTTTATCAGGACACAAGAAGAAATAGAAAATTTGAATTATTAAAAACCTTTCCCCCACCCAAAAAAATTACAGGTCTACATAGCTTCATTAGTAAATTCTTTCAAACAGTCAGGAAAAAGTGGTATCAATCTTATAAACACTTTCAGAAAATGTCAAAGAGAACACTTCTCAAAATTATAGGATGAAGCCAGCAACACACAGATACCAAAATCTGATGAAAATATTAAATAAGAAAAGAAAATTACAGACCAACATCCCTCATGAAAATAGTCCACAAAACATTAGCAAATTGAATCCTGCAATATATAAAAAGGATAACATAATGTATCATGACCAATTGCATATGAAAGATTAACCTTTAAAAGTTAATATAATTCGCAGCATTAACAGAATAAAGAATAAAAGCCATATGATAATTTCAATAGCTATAGAAAAAAAGCCCAATAATGATTTAAAAGAAGAAAAAAAAAAACTGCCAGCAAACTAGGAATAGACAGAAACTTCCTCAGTCTGCTAAAAGGGCATCTACAAAAACCCTACTAACATCATACCAAGGGTGAATGTTCCTAAGATCAGAAACAAGAGATAGATGTCCACTCTCACCACATTTATCCAATCTTACACTGAGGTCCTACCCAATGTATTAAGACAAAAACAAGAAATAAAAAGCACAAAGACTGGAAAGGATGAAGTAAAATTCTCATTATTCACAGATGACAGGATTGTATGTGAATAAACATTAAGAAATAACTCTACTTAAATACTACTAAAACCAGTAAGTCAATTTAACAAGATCTTAGAATACAAGGTCTGTATTAATTGTATGTCTATGTATTGCCCAACCCATTGCCATCAAGTCAATTCCACTCATAGTGACCCCAGTTGGGTTTCCAAGGCTGTAAATCTTTACAGAAGTAAATTGCCTCATCTTCCTCCCACAGAGCAGCTTGGTGGGTTTGAATCACTCTTCTTCTGGTTAGCAACCAATGCATTACCTAGTATGCTACCAGAGCTCCTTATAGCTATATATCAGCAACAATTAAAATAAATAAACTTTTAAATTAAACATACATGAGGCCTCTACACTGAAAACTACGAAACATGTCTGAGAAAAATTAGAGAAGACTTTGCGAAGAGCTGTTAACACTTAGAGCTTATGAGATAAGCTGTTAACACTTAAGAGCTTATTAGATAAGCCTCAATATTGTTAAGATGTCAGGTGTTCCCAAATTTATCTATAGATTCAAAGTAAGTCTAACAAAATCTCAACAGTTTTTTTTTTAAAAAAATGAAATAAACAAACTAACTTTAAAATGATATTAAAATGTCAAAGCAGTCTCGGAAAACTAAAAATCATGTTGGAAAACTCACATTATCTGATTTTACCATATACCAAAAAAGCTTTTGTAATTAAGACATTGCAGTACAGATAAAAGAATAGGCACATCAATGGAATAGAATATGTTACAAAAGTATGGCCAAAAATACAGAGCTAATAGAACTTTAACAAAGGCACTGTGGCAATTCAAAAGAAAAGTATTTACAGCAAGTGATGCTAAGACAACTGGATAAATGTATGTAAAAAAAAATAAACCTTAGCCTCTATTTTCGATATCACACAAAAAACTGATTTGAGAAGATTACAGAATAAAATACAAAAGCTAAACTACAAGGTGTCTAGAAGAAAATGTAGGTGAATATCCTTGCAACCTGGGATAAGAAATCTTTGCTTACCAAAAAAAAAAAAAAAGGAAAAATTGATAAATTGGTCTTTATCAAACTTAAAAACTTCTGCTCCTCAAAAGAAATTGTTAAGAAAATGGAATTTAAGTCATAAACTGGGAGAATATATTCAAAACATGTATCTAAAAAAGGACTTGTTTCTAGAATATAAAAAGAACTACAATCCAAAATAAAGACAATCTAATTAAATAAAATGGGCAAAAGATGTGAAAAGACATTTCACATGATATATAAATAGCCAATAAGTTAAACATAATTAGTCATCAGAGAAGTACAAATTAAAACCACAGTGTGATACCAATTCCATCCAAAAGGATGACTAAAATTAAATATTGGCAAGGATGAGGAACAAATGCAATTCTCATGCACTGGTGGAGTGTAAATATGTTCAACTCTAGAAAACTAGCAATTTCTCATAAAGTTAAATATACACCTACTCTGTGACCCAGCAATTCCACTTCTAGGTAATTGTATAGAAAAAATGAAAACACAAATCACAAAAAAAGACTTGTACACTAATGTTCTAGCAGCTTTATTCACTAGTAGCCATACTGGCAATAACACAAATGTCCATCAACAAATGACTGGATATATTCATAAAGTGGAATACTACTCAACACTGAAAATAACTAACTGGTAAGACTTTGTAGCAACAGCAACTATCTCACAGACACTGTGTTAAATGAAAAAAAAAAATGTATGTACAAAAGAGTACATACTATGTAATTCCACTTACATGATTACTAGAACAGACAAAGGAGCCCTGGTGGTAGTGTCTAAGGCATCTGACTGCTAACCAGAAGGCTGGCAGTTCAAACCCACCAGCCACTCCTCAGAAAGATTTGGTAACCTACTACCGTAGTAATATTGCCTTGGAAACCCAAGGAGGGCTCGCTTTGAATAGAATCGACTCGACAGCAGTGAGTTTGGTTTTTCTGGAGAACAGACAAAACTAATCTACAGTGATAGAAATCAAATCAGGGGTTGCCTGGGCAGAGAGGTCAGAAGAAATTGGTAAAGTGACTTCAAAGAAGCACGAGGGAATTTCCTGGGATGATGAAAACATTCTGTATCTCCACTGGGGTGGTAATTATCTTTCATAGAGAAATAAATATTTTTTTTCTAGTAAATAACAGTCTCTATGAGTTGGAATTGACTTGATGGCAACAGATTTCATTTTTCAGTTTTATAATGTCATTACTGGTTAATAATAACAACTCCAATATCCTGCAACCTCACTGAAACAACCCATTTCCATGCATAGTAGCAATATGCAAAACTCTACCTCCAAAATCTTAAACTACAATATTATCATCACTCAGTAGCTTTTCATTTCTTTCCTTTTACTATTACAATAGCCGTTCTCTGGGCTCATTGCTATCACCAGTATCTTTACCCTCTTGTTTCTCACATCCCATTACACCAATCATTTCTTCACCTTCTTCTTACCCAGCTACACAATCCAATTATTTCAACTACTTTCTTACCAGTACCTTCAACCTTCTCCCAACAACCCAACCGACATGTACATCGAAAACAAAACCAAACAAAACCCATTGCTATAGAGTCAATTCTGGCTTAAGCAACCCTACAGGACAGAGCAGAACCGTCCAATAGGGTTTCCAAGGCTATAAATCTTTATGGAAACAGACTACTTTATCTCTCTCCCGCTGAGTAGCTCGTAAGTTTGAACCACTGACCCTTCAGTTAGCAGTCGAGCACTTAACCACTGCACCAAACTCCTTCACACACACGTAACCATCCTGAAAACACCCAATCTTAAACTGTTATTCCTTATCCTAATGTTATAACTGAATGTCGCATAACTCTGGATGAAGCCATTCCCACAAATGAAAGTCATTACAAAATTATGGCTAATATCAACAAATAAATTCATATGCTGACAGCTTAAAGCCTCATGATATAAATCTCTATGAATACCCAATGGTCACCAAAATAAACTGAACATCTGAAATTCATTACTCTAGACTGAAGTACTGAAATTGCATAATGATTATATAATCATTAAACAGTTGCTGTTTCCTAAGGGTTTTGAAAATATTTACCTTAAAATAGACTTTTTTTTTATCAGCTAAGGCAGTTATGTCCAGTTTTACTAAGTTTGAATTTTTCAAAGAAATCATTAAAATTAGACTCAAATTTTCACCTATCAAATTAGCAAATACAGTGTGTTCTAAGACATATTCCTGTAATACCAGTTGGTTAGTAAAGAACACAACAATGCCAATCTAACATGAAAGTTATGTCAGCTCATTTATGACTTTTTCTAGGCAAGGGGAGCTGGAGTAACAGGAAAAGAACTATAACTTTCAGTAGGCAAAAAAAAAAAAGACCCTCATCAGTTCAGCTACTGCCAGGCCAGGAGCCCTCTCATCTCTAGTTTAAGAAAAAAAAAATGAGCACCTGCATACAGAGCTCCCTCCTCAGAAGAGCAACCTCAGTCTTTACAGAGTTCTTGGATCACAGAAAATTGCTATGTCCACCTTCATATCAGTGCCACTAGCGTAGAAAGCTACTTTCATCTGCACAATCTCAAGACCATGCAGACATCAGCTATTTTCATCCTAGTGTGTTTTAATATCTTCAACTCTCCTCTGAGGCAGCCTCATCATGAGGTACTAATTATGTTTTTGTTAGTACTCTGGTTTCAAAGTTGCAGAGGTCTTGAGTGGTCTGCCCTTCACTTTATTTTCCCCATAAATCCTGTTATTTTTAGTGACTACCCGGTCTTGGGAGCTTTGTTTTCTTTCTAAGAAAGCATTTCATGTTGTAACAAAAATGTGATTATGTTCTTTATGATAATGAATGCTAGGCAGGTATGGCAAGCAATTAGTGAGTACGCATCAAAGCTTTTTAAAT